TAACAAATTTAATTTTATTTAAAATACATAAAGTTAAGTTATTTTATTTTAAAAGCAGCAGACATAGACACGGCTTTTAGAATGATGGTCAAACTATATATCTAGTTAAAGATTCGATGGTCTATCTAACTATACATCTAACTATCTATCTTACTACCCACCTAACTGTATATCTAACTATTTATGTATCTAACTATTTATATAACCTATGCAACTAGCTACGTATATATCATCTCAGTGTCTATTTAGTTATTGATCTAACTATGTATCTAGCTATATATCTATCTATTTAACCATATATTTATCTTACCATCTATTTAACTGTCATCTCACTGTTTATCCAACAGGCCCCCTGCGGTGAAGGGATTATAATTTTCCCGCGGTAAAGTATGCCTGTCGTAAGAGGTGACTTAAATCCCAGTGCCAGTCCGGCATTTGTGTAAGAATTGTGCATGGTAGTAAGTGATCTGCCCCACTTGCACCAACTGACCAGAGTTGCATGTATCCGGTACTATGTGGGTCAGTGGCCCAGAGCTTCGGCTGGACTGAGCAGTTGAGGTTGGACTCGTTGTGGATGTTGGTTAATACCCAAACTTACGCAAAAAGAATGTTCAGGCATTTGTTTATCATTCATTCGGCGTAGAGTTGCGTATTGACCACCGGTTGCTTCAGCCCAAATTGTAGATGAGGTTTAAGATAGGCTTCGCATTAAACCAAGATGGAAGATATGACTTAAATTTTTTCATTGGTACCAGCGGAATTACTTAGATAATTCCAATTACCGCATTATCTTGATACGGTTTTTGAGCACTGTAATGTTAGGCCAACACGGCATGAACGTTACGTAAAATAACAGATTGGTTTCTCCTGTCTATCTAACTATTTATCTATTTATTTAATTATCTATTTATCTATTTATTTAACTATCTAACTATTACATAACTATATATTTATGTATCTATCTCACTGTCTCTCTATTTATCTAACAATCTATCTAACTAGCTATTTAATTATGTATTTTTTTATTTTACTATCTAAGTATATATATAACTAATTATTTATCTAACTATGCCACTATTAATATAACTATCTATTTATCCTACTATAATCTCACTAACCATTTATCTAACTATCTATCTAGTTATATATCTAAGTATCAATTTAGAAATATATTTAACTATCTATCGCAACTATCTATTTAACTGTATATCTAGCTATCTCTTTATCTATCGAATCATCTATATACCTATTTAATATATCTATAGCTAACTATCTATATGTCTATTTAAGTATCTATCTATTTATATATCTGTCTATTGTTAATGTAAATCTTTCTAAATTATTTTTTTTTTGAGGTTCGTTTTTTTTTAAATTGAGGTTATGATAGTTACTTTTAGGTTTAATTGCAATTATATTTTTATTAAAATATTATCAATAGAATCTATAAAAATCAAGTTTTATGTTATTTATATATAAATTATGAAATGAGATTTTGGTGAACGAACATTAAAATAAAGCTTACTCTATGTAGGTGCAATAACTCTATTTTGTATTTCTATCTCAAATTTAAATATTTTCAAAAAATATTTTAAATTAAAGAAAACTGTATTTGAATAAATCTTACTGGCGCCTAATAACCTTTCGTTTGTTATTGTTGCTAGATTCTGGTACAAGTTTATCCGCAAGCCACTAAATCAACTCCAATCATGATGTAAGGTAAGGTAAGTAGAAATAAAAAAAAGTATGAAGAACACTTTTCTATATTAGTAGACAAGTTAATAAAATTAATATGTTTCAAATAATAAAGTGCAAACTAAGTTGGTCATTGCACATATGTAAGCCAAGTCACGACTTTGGCTACATTGTCGCATTCGTTGTCGTACATGAGAGTATACATTACATCCGCAAAACCGAAATCACGACAGCGGACTACCTAAAAACATTCTGACAACATGTTCTAAATCTTTTCAAAGTCAAGTAAAAAAAGGATCATGTTTCTGCTGTAAATGGTGTTCCTCCGCCAGACAAAGCCATTGTTCGAAACCAAGCGAAGCTACATGGTAAAAAGCCACTACACAACCAGTTCAATACGGCGGAAACTTGTAGGTCACACAGTGCCAAAGGCAATATGCAACTTTATTAGTGTAGCTAAATTATATACTTCACTTTTGTCAAATTTCTGCAATGTGGGGTTGGGATTATAAGGAGCAAGGGTAACGAAAGAGACTTAATATTTATTTCACAATGGAGTTTAAAGAAAAAAATTCAGTTCACTTTTATTATGAAATTATCTTTTCTAATAACTAAAAGGAGTGCATTTCATGAGATAGATTATATGTCATTAAACATAATAATCTATAGTTAACAATGTACAAAGATTGCCAATTCAACAATTGCAGTTTTTAAAATAAGGACAACTAAAACTAATAAATATTTCCAAACACCATAGCTAATAGATACTTAACAACACTGGAAACAGTTGTTTGGTTAATCAAAACTTTCAAAATAAAATTTTGTTGTGATTACAATATTTAGGTCGTGTGCGAGTTAGGCTAAGTTGCGTTCTAAATGAGGGAAATTCTAAGTTGTGCCGATAATGTAGTGATATGTCGATACGTGTTGATAAATGGCTAAATGTGTGCAATGTAAAAAATCCCAAGAAAAGTCCCATTTGGTTTAGCATCAACTTAGCCTAACTCGCACACGTCCTTAATAAATAAAAATTAATTAATTAATTAATTTAATTATTTTTTTTATTAGATTTTAAACATCAAAGAAACTATCAAATATGCAATCTACAAGTTAATAATGCAACCATGAAAATGAGCCAGGCGTGAAATACTTAAGCACCTATCGATTCAAATTGTTATCAAAATTTCATATGAAAAAAAGAGACGACGCTAAGCAACTCCGGTTTGTTGTTGTTGTCCTAACCTTCTGGGATCTATATAATCATTATGCATATATGAAGGCTTAGTATGAAAATATGGGGAACTGAGAGTAAACGTATAATTCAACGTCTCTTCAACCAAAATTATACTGCATCACTATCAACTCCAATTAATATACATTATGTATTAGATATGCCCACCTGCATTACGATTTGAGTATAAAATTCATTAATAAAATCAGTCAGATTTCAGAAGCATAAATAATATTAGTAGAATATTAACACATGGAAGTTACGGTCTATTCTGCAAGTAGAATTAATCCACCAAAATCGTCTCAAATGTTTAGTCTTTTCGGAACTTGTAGAAATAAAAAATTAACTTTCAACCATAATTAAGTTAAGTAAAATAAAATATTAGTTTATATTTATTGTATATACTATAACTGAGTATAAAATAAATAATATTTAGTTCTGAACTAAAATTAGATATAAGGCCCTATGCTCCACTTCGGAGAGAGGGACACAGGGGGTAAGTAAGTAAGTAAATTTAGATAAATTATTATCATTTATATAAGTATTAATTAAAACCAATATAGGTTTATTGCTATTAATAATAGAATTGAATAAAATAAAATAATAAAATAATAAAAAAGAATAATTTTTGTTAACTTCTATTTTCTATTTTGTTAAATTTATATTTAATCTTATTTAAAGATGTTAATATTAAAAATAAAAAAAAATTGAAGTGCTTGAATAATAAAAATATATTGTTTATATTAGTATTAATTATTAAAAATTCAATTTTATTTTAAATTTTATTCAAAAACAAGAAAGAAATTAAGTTGATATTGAAATTGTATTTTTCTATATTTTTTTATTAATTACTATTTATTAATTCCTAAATATTTCTTTTGATTGATTTATATTTTAAATTTAAAAAAATTTTTTTTTTCCCTCTATACAATGATAACCATGATATTATTAAAGACCTCGTAACTCTAGTCAAAGGTAACTAAATCTTCTTTAAAAATTATTTTAAATAAATAAAATATAATATTTTAAAAATAGGTATCTAAATCTTCTTTAAAAATTATTTTAAATAAATAAAATATAAAATTAAAAATATTCAGCAAATCATTTAATATTTTATATGAAAAAATTATTTATTTTTAATTATAAATCTTAATTTAAAATTATTTAAAAAATTAATAGGATTGATATTAGTTATATTATAGGATTTTGCGCAACACTAAAGCTAGTAACTCTTCGTCTTTGTTACTAATATGAGAATTATAAAATGTGATGGAAATGTATATATTAGCAAAATAATTATGATAAAAATTAATAAAAAAATTAATAAACATATGACATATATAATATTTAATTAGTTAATTTTTTTTGCTTTGAAAAATAAGCAGCGAAAATTACTTTATATATGGTATATATGTGAGGCGATTTAAAAAAAGGAATATTTTAAAGGAAAAAGATTATTTAAAAAAAAAAGTTTTTTTGAAGGAAAAAAAAATAAGTTTGAATAAAAAAGAATTTTTTAAATAAAAAAATATTTTTTTTCTTCATAATGTGGAAAAAAATTTAACAGGAAAAATTTAAAAGCGGACTCCGTAGACTGTAGAAATGTCTGGAATATCTGCGACTGGGCATACGCATAACTCTACGCGCCATTTTTTTGTGGGCCATATGTGGTTACGAAACATATGTAATTTTATAAAAATATAATATCACCATAAAAAATTTATCGTGTATTTAATTAATATTTATTAATAATTAATTGTATTAGAAAGGGCTTTCAAATTACATTTGTCGAATATTTCTTTGCACTTACGGAGACACAAAATCACCCCAAAATGTTTTCACAGTATGAAAACCTAAAAAAAAACATCTAAAAGTTGCAGATTGGAAATAAATAGGAGCCGAAGAAGTCTCAAATAATTTGCAAGATTTCACACAAATGTATAATAGTTCAAATAAAAGATTTATTGGATTAATTATTGTTTTAGCAATTTCCTATGTATATTTAGCAAAATAAAATGCTGCTTAAGTGTATGGTTATCTATTTTTTATTATATATTATATTAAAAAAAAAACTCACCACGCTTTCCACGTTTTCCACTCTTCGGTGACATCTTAATATTTGTACAAATAGAATTCAACCTCAACTTAAGAATCAAAAGATTTACGTGAACAAATTTACTGAATAAAGGCTTGAATTGCAAAAACGAAGAACTAACGTTAATCGTTCAGGAACACAAATCCAAATGGTTTCAATGCGAATGTCATTACTTCCCCTTCTATGGTTCTAAGCAGTGTTGTATTTTTGCAAAAATTTCGTATAGAATATTGGAATCAATTAGGCCGGCCATAGTATCCATTATATCACACGCAGTACACGTGAACATAAATAAGGCTGATGTGTATAAATATTGATCACTTGATTACTTGATAACTTGATTAATAATTAATGGAAACTAATGCTATATTTATTTATTGAAATATTATAAAATTGAAATATTTATTGTTTTATGACCAAAACTGATTATTTGGTTGTAATAGACTAATGGGTAAATTACTTTTAACTTTTGCGCAATATATTAAAAATGATTAAAAATTAAAATTTATTAATTTTATATAATTAGTGTTTATATTTTTTTAATTTGAATCCGCTTAATTACAATCTATTTTATTTAATTTGGCAATGAGCTTTTAGAATACATATATGGACGGACTATGTCTATAGCAGTAGAAAGCCTAGTACCAATATCAAATTCATATGAAAAATAGATATAGAATACTATATAAAAAAATGTTCACATAATTTTGACAATATGGAAACTTTAATTATGTGGATCCGTGTCAATATTTCATCACTTTTGAAATGGATTTAAGTACTAGGATTATTGGTGTAAACTAATCATTGATAGAAGAAGAAGGTCTTTGATAGTTTTTTTCTTAGCTTTTTGAAGGTATTCGCAATTAATATCAGCTCTATTGCAAACATGTTTGGATACATTTATAATATACTTCTTCTTCTTATTTCGCATTACAGTCCAGTGTGAACCTTGGCATTCTTCACAATCTGTTTCCATCTGCTTCGATTTTGTGCAGTTGTTTTCCAATTCAGAACTTCGAGCTTTCTGGCGTCCTCGTATTGTTTTTATCTATGTAAGATCATATTTAGACTTAACACAATAAAAATTAAAGTAGTTGTGCCGTAAAAAAATCAGCTGACCTACCTATTCCATCATATGGAAAATAATGTATTTGACTATTCGTGCCTAAGTAAAAACGAGGCCTAACGTAACAAATTTACGCACCGTACAAAAAATATGTATAAAAGTTCATAAGTATCGACCGACAACATATGATAATTAAAATCACAAAACTATATCCATTTTATGTACCAAAATTTACCATAACTATTAGTTTCTCATAGGTGATCCAAGCTGTAAGAGCATTCTAATTTTAATTTGATTTTGTAACTAAATATACCGAATGAGTGAAATTAGAATCAAAATTACGATTATCTTTGCTGTGTGAATGCTACTTATGAATATTCCGGCTAAAGATAATATCAAACACTGCGTAATGTATAAAGTTAAACGATTTGATTCTGATTAAGTTTAATGAAATTTAAAGGATTAGACATATATATACATAGCTTTTATCAAAGTGGAATAACATAGGTGCCATAAACAATAATACATCGTACTACCAGTGTGACACAAATTTCCGATATATATATTTTTCTTTCCTTTACAAACATAAACAAACATAACACTATAACAAGCTTTAAAAACTAACTAATTAATAAAAGAAATATATTTGTGTACATCCCGTTTTTGTTAGTTACCCATGAGATTAGGTGGTCTTTAACGAACTAATCGGCGAGTGAGGCATGAGTTATTTAGAAGAAACCTGGCTTATTCGAAATAATATTCAAAAAATAATAGTTTATATTAAAAAAAGTTCAGTTCTATTTAATTAGAGGAGTTCATTGAACTAGGATTTTATCACATCTGTTTTAATACAACTTAATTTTTATTCTGCGCCACATTATTTAAAGAAAAAATTTAATTGTCTAATGCAGCAAATTTAGTTTGATTTTTTAAGATGTCTTTGTGTCTCCTAAGTTATAAAAAAAAATTGAGCTTCCATAAAGTGCAGCAGACCAGAAGTGACTTAAATGGAAAATAGAATGATTGCAGAAGCAAAGAGAAAAAATTCTGTTTGCGATGGATAATTGCCATATCTTTCTGATAAAATTAAATAAAATGTAGATAAAAAGATATAAAGATATTTTAAAAAATAAAAGTTTGAATTTTAGTTTAAATTTAGTAGTGGCCATAATCTAACGAGAATAATATTAAACTCGATTTCAATTCCTGTTCACCAGATATGGGAACTCTTTCTTCCTTCATCCAGGTTTTCGCCTTTTAAACGTCTTGGGAGGATGATAGATCGAAGGTCTCAATGCAATGCTTCACTGTTGGGATGATTTCTCTTCTATTCACGTTCATTATCACCAAGTCACGGCTCTGCTTACTTTGTATCTGTACTACATGGCCGACTAAATATTGACGATCGTACATTGAGCTATAACGTGGTAGTAATATCCACTTGCTATTTGTGCTTCAGGTCTACCAAAAAGTCGTATGCTCTGAGGAAATCTGCACCTATGTTTGGACAGCTCACATTTGCGACTACAACAGTTGTTGATAGTGATTTAAGTGTAAGAATGGTCTATTATGATAGTGTAATAGCACTCGCCTGGTTCGCAAATTTGGTTACCTAGTCTGGCCAATCAAATCAACACTTGATGTCTGCAAAATCGCAAGAATTTGACGGTGCAACCAATGAGATTTGATGAAGTCGTCGCTTATACGGCATTCACACTGGCTGATAATGGCTCATTTTGGTCAAAAATCGAAAATGAGAAGCGAATTTAAAGAAAAAATCTTGCATATAAAATTTCAAGCGCGAATGAGCCATTCCATCACATTCTGTATGAATGCCTCTCTCGCAAAGGAATACATTGAACATACCCTAAATAAAAGCATCTGCTGTTTTGGTTTGAATCTAAATTTTTGTATTGTTTATTTGCGCGGCACTGGTGTTCTCACTAGACTTTACGCAAAGCTGTTCTATGAAAACCTGTGTAAAGAGCGTAATTTGGTGCTTTATTTGTGTTACACTCTCAGTTTGGATTTTACTTGTGTTTTACTTGAGTTTTACTACGAGTAGATTGTGGAACAGAACTTTTACTTCAAGTAAAATTTTTGTTGATGTATGAATCAGCTGTTTTGGTTTGAACTTAAATTTTTATATTATATATTTGGCGCGGCAATGGTATGCTCTCCAGATTTTACATAAAGCTGTTCCATAAAAATCTGTGTAAAGAGCGTAATTTGACTATTTGTGTTACGCTCTCAGTTTGGACTTCACTTGTGTTTTACTTGAATTTTACTACGAGTAAATTGTGGAACAGAACTTTTTTATATAGTTTGCTTTCAATTTTCCGTACGAAATAAATGATAGTACTAGAAGTTACCAATTAGAATTTTTTTTTTTACTTTTTTATCTATTTTAATAAATATTTTTAAAATATTCTTACTTTTAACTACAATGTGTCCTGTTGTTTGCAGAACACTAATCCTCTTTAGTTGATTAATCTTTAATGAATGAAAGTTAATAAAGATTGAATAAAGTTCCGATTTATTTTTATAGTGAATGAATTATTAATTCTGTTTTTTTTTTTATAAGTTGTACAATTATTTTATAAGTAATTTATTATTTGTTATACAGTCAAATTCTGTTGATAATTTATTTAATTGTCACATAATTAAATAAAAATTAATAACACTAAAAATTCATTGCACAATGGAGACAATTTCATATATAAAAACGGAAAAACTCATGCATGCTTACATTTTTTGCAATTAAATCCAAAAAAAAAAAAATATAAAAAAAAATATTAATTTTACTACAATTTTCCTCTTCACAATACTGTGAAAATTCATTGACCGGGCAGAAATCGTCTCTCATGTCAGCTTAACAGTCTAATCTTCTGCTTCTTCTTCATTTTCTTTATACAATTTTCCTGCTTGTCGCTGCTACACAAACAAAAATTATTATTTCGCCAATTTTCAAAATAACAAACAATTGAATTGTGGGTGCAATTGTTGTGTGCAGCAAAAAAAAAAAAAACAACAAAAAAAAATATTTCACAGAATATAAGGAAAAACAGAAAACAAAATAAAAATAAAAAATAATCGTAAAGAAGGAAAATTATTCTGAAAATGTAAAGCTTAACTTTCGCTATTTCGTCGCCATTGTTCCCGACTAATGAAAGTACACATGTGAATGATTCAGATAAAGTCTGTCGGGCTTTAAATACAAACAAAGTAATTGATTAATTTTTTATAATAAAAGTTTTCTTTTATTAATTTATAAACTGAATGAAAATATAACAAATTCAACTCTTTGCCGCTATAAAAGCTCTATTCACAAAAGGTCATTTCACCATTCAGGCTTCGGAAAAAACCCAAAAAGTTATATAGTAGTAACCACCGATTACGCTTTAAACCCTGGTTCAGAACCGCTGGTGGGCAAGTGTATTGAGTCAACCCAGAGTTCTGTGGACTATACGTATTCATACCCAAATGTCGTTAACGGATTCGGCTAGTTTATAACATAAATAGTTTATATAAACTATAGTTATAGTTTATATAATAACTAACATATATGATATATGATCTCCAGCCAATATGCCTTGACTCATAATAAAGTAGCATCTGCTAACATGGTGATAATTTACACTAATAGCTCTAAACTAATTAAAAGAGTATTCGTATTCAAAAATACTCTCTCAAAAACCTATTTCTTCTGGAGGTCAGACCTGGGCATCTACAGAGAAAATGTTTAATAGTTTCTTTTAACTCCAAGTTTCTACAACTTCTGCAATGAGTTTTAAAAGGAATACGGAATTTCTCTGTGTGGGCTATATATATACATCTATGCACCAGTGATCAGAGGGAACTGCAGTAAGCATTTTAGTATACACGCCATTCAGTTCGAAGAGTTCTCAAGATTTAATTTTGTTGTGAGAAAGCCATGTTAACCGAATAGTTACATATGACCTAAGTGTCTTTTATTTATACTTATATGAAGAAGTTCCGTCTTATCAAAAAGACTAAAAGTTTTATTCGTTAGCTAACTGCTTCGGAACTTAACTTTTAAGATACTGAAGGAGGTGTGGGACAGTGTCAGGTATTGCAACCCATTTTTAAGTGTGCTTTGGTGCACAAGGCTGGTGCTTCAACATAAACTAACATATTGACTTCATATTTTGTTAATGCCAGTATTTGGATGGTGTTGTGGGACAGTATCTCATTTATGGTATCGC